TGTTTGTATACTGGGAGAACGGAATTTCGGCTTATATTTCAATGATCTCATCGATTTTCTCTTCTCCCATAAGTAATCTAGTTTATTTTAATTATTTAATAGATATCGTAGTACTGAGCAAGACATTATAATACTCAATAAGATGGCATCAGGGTGTAGGTGTTGTTTTTCATGAGTATATTTAGTTCGTCGAGCATTATGTCGTCCTACTCAGCACTACGATATCTGGTAGCTAATTAAAATAAACTAGATTATTTATTTGGGGAAGAAGGGATATCAATGAAATCATTTAAAGAGTGACCCGAAATTCATATAACCGTAACACAATCGTAGGATGAGAACTTGGCTTCAACTGAAAAAGATGATGAAAATACGTTGACAACAAATCAAAATTGATCTCATACGAATTGTTGATAGAATGAGAAATATTTTGGCTTTTTACAATGTCTAGGACAGTCCATATTATCTAACATTGATTTGATTAAAAATGTTTTTAATTGTTAATCACAAAATGAACTTTGCCAATTTTTCTTTGTGTCACCTTCTATCGTTATTATGAATAATCACGTCATTAAAATTTTTCCCTTTTTGATATTTTTTTTGCAAAAAAAAGAATGAAACAATGCTAATTACAGTAAGAACTATGAATTCGTCTCACAATCTATTTTTTTCGTTGTATCAAGAACAAACTACTTTCGAAAAACGTACCAATTCGTCAATCGTTTTCAACACAAAGAATCCAAGCAAATGGCTAAACAGCAATGATAACGATATTTATTAAAGTGAAAATAGAAAAAATATTGCATATAGTTTTCTCACACTGAGAAAAATGCTAAATTTTGGTAGTTCTTAATTGACAGTGGACGATTATTTTCTAGAAATAGTACAATGTGTTCAGCAATTCCAACAAGTATTTTCCATTTATGTTCTCTGCCAAGACAAGGAACGAAATAAAGCATGAGCAAAAAAAAAATTATTGAAGTAATTTGTGATAAATATATGACTATTATAGACAGAAGAAAAAAAAGAAAAGTTCGTTTTTTCGTTTCTTTTGATTCTTTTTTACGCAGTGCTTCTTGTCAATTTGAAGAATATACAAGATTAAACTTTTTGTCATCCAATTTTATTTGTATTCATTTACTATAAGATCAAAACTGCCTTGATTAATCATTATTTATGAGATTTTATAACCTATATAGATCGAGGAAACTTATCTAGTTAATAAAAATTGTCTTAAAAAATTTAAATGAAAAAAAAATTCATGCCTAAACTTATTTACTATTTCTTTTTTGTCAGAAAATAATTTTTAATTGAAAAAATTGAATTCTGAAATTTATTGCAAAATTACTGATTAATTGTCAAAACTGAACCGTTTTCGATGACATAGTTCCTCTCATTCGGTTCAAGATCTCACGAAAGAGAAAAGTGAGATTTAATCTCGTGAAGCATTGCTATCAATACTTTCTAGAAGTGGTTATTAATGATATTATAGAAATTTTCCTGAATACCATAAATTGAATATAAATAAGCCGGAAGTTTGTTCTAGTTTGATGCATGGAGCTGAAATTTTTATCAGAAGCTTTTGTTGACTAGGGTTACTCATTACTGAAAATTTCATACTTGTTTCACTATGAATATATATTTTAACAATAAACGACAACAAATAATTGTAGTGTTTTGGTGAATAAGATAAATATTTTCTCCTACAGTCACTCTTTTATCCGTTATGTAGGAACAAAATAACAATCATCAGATGGATAATGAGGTTCAAGTGTTGGCATCTTGACTAATTTTAATTGATCAATAAGTTACTCATAAAACAAATGTATATCAGCTATATGATCGTGAGCATCCATGTGAAGAAAAGCAGAATTACTACTCGAAAACGACGGTGAAAATACAAAATAAGCAACAACGAGAAAATAAACTAAACTTTTTCATTATACATATCACTCTTCTTTTAGTGAAAGATTTTTTTTTTCATAACTTTTTTTTTTCAAAAAAAGATATTAATCTGTTTTCTCTTTTGAGTCCTTTTTTTCTGATTTTCAATTTCCGCGAGAGAAATGATTCTTATCACTGTGTTGAAGTTGGTTCTGTGTAAAAGTATAGTAGTTTTGTATTCGTAAACATGTTTCTTTTATCGAAACATTCTTTATTATGCAGTTGGGTTCTTCTAACAAAAGTCTCATCTTTCCAGAAAAAGAATGCCCGTTGGGAACCCATTGTTTATGATTATTAAGCTACAACATGTGTCGAGTTTCATATTAATCATGATATGAAAGGTAAGTAATATATTCGAAAGAATACAAATACTATTTTTTTCATATTCAGATTCACATCAATTATGATATCTAGAGAAATTAATAAAGGATGTCCCAGCAAAAATAGCACTAAATCTTGATGCAGTTTTCTCTTACTGCCTATGTGTTAGAAAGATTTCTTCATAGACTGAAAGATAAAGACTTTTGAGCTCTCCAAAGTTGTCGACTTTATTTTTCAGATAAGTTGTTTTGGTAGTGCCAGATTCAAAAGATTCAAGTCTACTGAATCATTCAACTGAGACAAAACATTAGGAAACTTTTTATAACAACAGATTCATTGATCGGTCAGCTTTTTCATGATATTCTTTGTAGCATTCTTCAATTTGTGACGCGTGTCGCAGAGTTTCAGAACAAATATTTGGTAGAAACAGTTCTGCAAAAAACAAAAGATAATAGCTCCACAAAAGTCCTTTCGTGGTAGATGTATGCTATTGTAAGTTTTTTTTTATTCGAAACAACCTGAATCTTTGCACTTTTCAATTTAACACCTTCATCATTTTGCTCAAAATTAAATCTATATCCGATGGCATCATAATAAATCTCTTATGAGTCTTTGCACGAGAGAGTCACACTGGATTTCCAATATAATTGCTCAATCGATAGTTTCAGATTTCAAATAATAACACGCCAAATAGCTTTTTATTATTTTCATACATTTTTTGTCAATGAGTTATGTGAAATACTTTCACGATATCTCCTCAAAGGTATGTGAGAGAATTTTGAAATTTTAATTAGAGATACATTTTAAGATGAACAATTCAACCATCTTATCTAATAAAATCCAAGTCATGATCAACTTTCAATTAAAATTTCACTTCAGCTCTACTATCTTTATAGAATCGGCTCAAACGTAGCTTAGCTCATTCTAATAGGTTTCTGAAACAACTAGATAGAGTTCTCTCATTTTGTGTTCAAATACTCTTCGTTTAGTGCTTCTTATAGACTGAATGACAAGCTGAAAATCATGGAATTTCAGTCGACATATATAGACACAAAGAAACATTATTTTATTATATCATCTTCGCGATTGTGTTGATCCTTGAATTTGGTAATATAAGTATAAGAATATGGAAGTACTCGAAAGTATCTGAGAAACTAAAAAGTTATACGTTGAAATCTTTTCACATATATCGTAAATATTGAACCTCAACAATGGTGCCGTAATCTTCATCATCAAGACCACTAGCCGAGAGAGACCTAAATTCAAGTAATTATTTTATGCGATGAGAAAGAACACTAGCAGTAGGTACCATTGAACTCTAAATGCACCAATTATATTATTTGTATTGTCTATTTTGTGCGAGAGGCGTTTGCTGTAGAAAACTAGAAAACACAGAGAACTACTCTGGTCTGAATATTGCTGAGATTAGTTGAAATGCTTGTAGCAGTTTTAAAGTTATCTTCAATTTGATGAAGATGAGCATAGTAACCCACACCTAAGTTATGATTATATACGATAGTCATTCACGACAGTCGTTGATGTTCACTGTAAAGGGCAATCGTATTTAAAACGTATATCACTTTATATGTAGACTGTTTCCTCCAGTACTTATGTCAGTTTTTTTTATTACATAGGGCACTACAAAAGTTTTTTCGCCCGGCTCTCTTAAAGGACTTGACCAAGAACTAACTATACCGCCATAATGCCCAGAGATATTTAGGATTTGGTGCAAAATTTCAGACTTCTAAGTCTTGTGCTTTGTTGTAGTCTATCATTTCTTTTGTATCAGTCAGGCAGGTTACATGGTCGCGTTTTGTGTATCAATTTCAATCCTTTAATAAGTTGTATTAAAAAAACAAAAGATATCCCAAGATGCAGCGTGCAAAGCTCTACGATTTACATAAGACTGCTTTTTTGATAATTGCACATTTTGCTCTGAAAATGGCAAAGTTTTGAGCGATCAAATTTCGACGCTGCGAAAAAATAACACGAACGAGAAATTTTTTTGTTCTTGTTTCACGTTTTTATTACCTATACAGATTGTACGGCTTTTCATGCTGCACCTTGCGACATATTTTGTTTTTATTTACGAAAACATATTCGGTGGTAAAAAGATGAAATAAGAAAAAAAGAGCTAATTTTGTGTAAAAAAATATAGTTGTTGTATGGCCGGAATGTGGTTGGTAAAAATTTTGTTCGTTTTGAAAGCAAAACGTGCAACTATAAAAAAAAGTGGTCTGATGTAAATTGTGGAGCTTTGCACGCTGCATCTTATGATGTAGTTTGTTTTTCTAACACAACTTATTAAAGGATTGAAAATTGATACACAAAACGCGACCGTGTAACCTGTCTGACTGGTACAAAAGAAATGATAGACTACAACAAAGCACAAGATTTAGAAGTCTGAAATTTTGCACATAATCCTAAATATCTCTGGGCATTATAGCGGTATAGTTAGTTCTTGGTCAAGTCTTTTCAGAGAGCCGGGCGAAAAAACTTTTGTAGTACTCCATGTAATATTAAGTGTTCAGCGAGAACTTAAACGTTCATATAAAATTAAGTTAAAAGGACCATCCCTAATAACACTTTCGGATTCGTCCACAAATTCACGTCCTCATTTTCGCCCCATGCTACAACAACTGTTTCATTGCAATGACTGTTCGTTATTAGAATGAATATTTATTGATGATCATCAAGACTATAAAACTAGATACTAAGAAAAAGACGAATATAAATCATTTCGTGTCTGGTTCTTCTTCTACGTGTACTTTATGATCATTTCGAAAAACAAAGTAAAATATAACACCGAAGACGAATGCCTGAATTGCCAATGCTGCATACATCCACAGTAGTTTTGGATCGTCTGACACTGGTACAAGTGCAATATTTAGGATACTGCCGAAGGCCGATGTAAATAGAAAAAGTGACATTACGATAGACTTCATCGAATGCGGTGCTTGAGTAAAGGCGTACTCGAGACCAGTAACGGAAGCAAAAATTTCGGAAATGGCAATGAAAAAATACGCTGGAATTTGCCAAGCTACAGTAATATTGTTATATTGTTGACATTCTTTACAAGGCTTGGGCACATAGTTGCAGTTCGGACCAGTAATATAGATTAGATGTTGAATGATCGCTGACCATGCCATGCCAATGGAAACACAGAAGAAACCAGCAGCAATACGTGGGATAGCCCCAAATGTGATTTTACATCGTCGCAAACCGGGATAAATCAATGTGTCGAAGATCGGAATGAAAATAACAATAACAAGTGGATCGATATTTTGTAAAATATCATTGGGCAAAGGACCTTAAGAAAATCAAAGATCAGACAGCATTCTGTTTTCTTGAGCATTTCGCAACAAATCATGAACTCACCAACATTCATTTGGGCAGCTTGCGATACTAAATTTGTTCCAAACTGATTGTAGCAGATCCAATAGAATGGATAGAAAACAAAGACACGACAAGCACGCACTGCTTTTTTGAGTTCATCAATAAACTGATTGTTGCTTAATTCTATCCCCATCTCTGTTTCAATATTATCGTTTGTCGACGGTATGTCTTTGGCATAATCCAAAAAATCTGGACGATCGGGTTGTTTGCCGAGTTTTCGTCGCACTCGAATGGCGGTCACTGTCACTTGAACAGCGCGAATGATCAATGAACCAGATGGAGGTTTTTGAATATAACGATTGCGACCAATCACTAAGACGACAATAGCACCAATAAATGCGACCGTGGGTACAAGATACGCAAGCCAAAATGAATGATACTTTTCGATATTCGTAGTAGCAATCAATGATAACGCACCAATATTAATTGCCCAATAGAACCAGTTAAACATCGATTGCATCGTTCTAAAATATGAACAATTCAGTGTAAGAAATAAACTGATACGTACTTAATCGACTCACACGCTTGGATCAATAATTTTCCTTCTGCCTTTGATTACTACCAATAGACAAGAAAAGGAATATTTTTCTTGAAACGACCTTTCAAATACCTGTGACAATTGGTTTTGCTCTAGAATATTGTTCAGCCATTAATGGACTTACATTACTCTTGACACCACCGGTACCAAAGCCCAAAACGACCATCGCTACGATTAAGCCAGGAAAGGCAACACCTTTATCAATAGCTGGTGGTATACTGGTCAGAAGCAGTATAACAAGACCAATCATGTAGACCACACATGAAACAATAATAGTCTTATATTTGCCCCAGAATTGATCGGCTAGAATGGCACCAAGGATCGGCGTGACATACGCAAAAAATCGAAAAAAATTTGTCAAAGCAGTGGCCGTCTGCTGTCCACGATCGAGAGCACCTGGTTGTGTATCATTTGCAGTAGGTAACGGAAATTGAATGTAATTTTGAAAGAGACCTGAGAGACCATAGAAAGCAAAACGTTCGCATAATTCACAAATAACAATTAGCCAGGCTGCTAATGGTATTCGATCAGCAATATGTTCCAATGTTGATAATTCTTCGGCTGTCGGCTCAGTTTCATTAAATTCCTCTGTTGGTTCGATAATCTCGGATTCAGCACCATCCTCACTGGTCGATTGAATTTCTACAGCTACACTCATTTAACACTATATGTCTTTAAAGTTGTGTTTGCATTTGAAGGCTATTTAATGTTTTCATAAGTGTTTTATCATGGCTCTTCAACATACGACAGAGATAAAATATTTTTCGTTCTATACTTCTGATATATTTAGCTTGTCATTATCTACACTCTTGAGCATGTTTCATTCGAGAATGTGCTAAGAATAACCATTTAATATCGGTGGGTTTCAATAGCTTGTTTGATAAACTGATCAAATCATTGAAAAAACTTAACTGTAATAATGTAGTAAGATATCATCGCGACTAGTTTAGAAAAACTTTTGTCTCTACAATGGACCTTGTCAATAAGAACATCAAGAGCAGGCACTTGCACATGTTTGAAAACTGCTGATGACGCTGAAGTCAATACTTCTAAGAGCATCACGTATCCAAGCATGTTAGATATTCAGCTAGATCATTTTAAAATGTTCAGGATGGGTGTGGGTATGAATGAATAGAAAACAACACAGAGAAATGGAGAAACTTTCAAAACAATTTTGTTTTGAAAACTTTACTAGACTTTAAATGAGTATAAAGTCAATAAAACAAAAGTAAAGAGGTTTTTGAATACCTAGTAGTGTACTGTTTTTTGTCATGCAGTTTAAAGCTCATTTAAATCAAAATTACTAATGAGAAATCTAATATTCTAAAAAGTTTAATTGAAAACACTTAAAATGTTCTATTTTTTAATTTTCTTTTGCAAGCTGAATCTACTCAGAAAACTATTTAAAATAGGTGAACTTTTTCAAAATCAGGTCTCCAGGTTCAAAAGAAAAAAATTGATTGTCAAAAAGTAGAGACATTCATTTTTTATTCACCATCCATCATGAGAAAATAACAACTCTGTCTGACGAAATATTATATCAGTACGAAATTCTCATATATACATATATATCCATATCAGCTCGTAGCAATTTTTGTGAAGCATTTTGTTTTTTTTTTGTTCAATACTTAGTTCAGAAAACATGTAGAAAAGAAAAAGAGACAAATGACAACACTGAAATAGTGCTTACATGTCTATTTCATTGAATAGCACAACTAGGGTAGCAATAGAGTGGATACACAATGATAGTATAGACTTCAAATTTTCTTTCAATATCAAAATGATTCATTTATTCGAGAACGATGTTTATATGATGTGAAGAAAAAGAAATCTTCTCGCTCTCTTGTCTATTTTATCATCATATAAACTTGATATAGTTTCATGACGAACAACACAGGTGCTTTTTTTAGATAAGTAAAAACAAATTGTGATGAATCACTTCTTTTTATTCAAATATGTACGTACGATGATCAATATAATTTATTAACAGTATGTAATACAGATTAAGTTTTATTTTCATTTTCATTCTTATTATCTTGATTCGCTACCTTATTCATCCTATAGTACAAATTCTTATCTATTTCGTCAACAAACACATTCTCATTTGGCATCATTAAATGTTTTATTTTTCATCTTATCAACATGCGTTTTCATCATCAACATTTCAACTTGCTCATAGAGATGTAATATCCTATTCCAATTATGATACAACTTATTTCAATGTAATATTAGTTTTTCCAGACATAGAGGAGGATTGTATCGAAGAGAAAGTTTTAAGATGAAACAATGAATAAGAACACATATTCTTTTGAGATACTCGGAAATAATGTAATCTTGTGAGAAGCACTAATGTGATAGATAGTTTAACTGTGAGCGAGAGAAAACTAACAATGACAGTCAATAGTTACCAAAAGAAGAGACAAATTTGAGTAAGAACCTCATTTCAGAAATTTGACTTGCAAAACCTCTTATAGAAGTTTAGATAGAGATTATTCATTATGCTGAGCCGAACTCTGATGTTTATTTTCAGTTTCCAAGCGATCTAAGACTACTATTTCAAGTTTTTTTCAAAAGTTGGATAATTTTGCTACTTAGGGTAAATTTTTGACATTTCAAAAATACTGTATGTTGGTATTGATAGTAGCACGAATACATCTACAGTTAATCTATCTTACCCTTAACTAGCATCTGGAGCAATCAAATCGAACGTTGGGAAAGTTCACCACAAAAATTTTTAATAAATATCGGTATTTCATAGAGAAATCATTTCTGGTATTGTTCATTTCAGAATGAAGTGAACGTGGGCATATTTTGAATAGTTTTAAAACAACAAGGAAGAAATAATTTGGTTTTTTTAGCACTATCTAGAGTCGACATTACTCTATTTTTTTGCAAAGTCAATGAAAAATCGCAATCGCTTTTCTTCTTGGATACATCCGGCGCTTTATAAATGAGCTTTATCTGTCATGGAAACAAAACACTTTTTCGACTATAATATAATAGCCAGATAGCTCAGCTTCTCCTCTATCGATCCACACAAGGTCGAGATTGATAACTATTTGCGTTCAAAAAATAGAGAGATATTACTAAAGGCTAGTCGCCAAATTTCCTCAAAATCCAAGCAGCTAACTAAATATTTTCTCCTGTAAGTTCTTGGCCGCTGTCAACTTCATGACATCATTTATTAACCTTGAAAGATTCTTTTCTACTAGAAATATCATCAAAAATCATACATTGAGAGGCGTGAGTGTTCTATCTGAGGTTTGATAACTCCCTAATTAGGAGATTCTTTCCACCCACACCCACACCCTGTTATGTATTACAAATCTTCGTCTGCTTATTAAACTGAAAAATGAAATAAAAGTTTTCTTATAATGAAAATGTTTTTTTGTGTGGATAGAGACGAGTTTGGTATTGGTCGTACACTTTGCTCTACAAAACAATACACAATGTTTTGATAAACACAGTGTACCCGTACTTTCTATTTCAGATTCTCATTAAAAACATTGGAAACGGAAAAGGAAAGTTCATTCATGAGCTTGATAAAACTAAAGGAAAAAATGCTTCTTAGGTTCATCTACAGCTTGAATGAATAAACAAACGTAGTACGAGCAACTTCTAAGTAACAGCGTAACCAATAACCAAAGCGCTTTCTTACTTTACACAGTATCATCGAAGTACTGAGGTTTTTTCAATAAAGTACAAAATATAGTACTTTCTTAAATTCGTAAGGGTGTGGGTGTCGGTATGACTCTTGTTACATCCATACCCACACTCCCAACCCACACCGATACCTACCCAGCCACACCCACACTCACACTCCCATTCCCACCCCACCCACATCGAGCTTCTTGATTTTAATTCATTTGCACGATTATTTTTTATCAGAAGAGTTTAACATCATAAGTAATTTCTACTAACGATATATACTTCATATACTACAAATGTGAGCGTTTCAAAAAGAGTGTCATCTTAAATGCATCACTGGATTTTTCATTGGACATTGATTTTATGCCTCATGCAAATGCGGTCATAGACTATTGACTCACCAATGATCAACTCAACCACAAACTCATCTATTTGCTTTTGTTCATTTGAATCGTTTGCTTCGTTCATCATCATTTCATCAACATGACTTCATAAAGATGAACTTATCGACAGTATGTTTCAAAGTCATAAACAACTGAATTTTATACAAGCTCAGTCTATTATTGTTCACTTTATTCAAAAATAATTCTTATTTAACTAAAGAATT